TTCATTTTACTGCATGTCACTGCATTACATATACCTTTTTAGTTACATGCAACAAAAGCAAAAAATGCAAAAATTTCCAATATGTAAATTTTCTTTGCTATAGAAGGCATTACTGAAATTTCAATTTGTTAAAAAAGAAAAATATGAAAACTATTAAGAAATAAGTAGTAATAAATCCATGAGCCTTAATTTTTATAAAAAGTAAAATTTTTACTTTAAAAACACAAAGTTAAGCTTCTATCTTAAGAGATACAAAAGGAGTTAATCTCATGATATTTTTGTGACATTAATTAGCGTTATGGTTAATGACATATGCACTAGGTTTAATATTTTTATGTTTTCAAATAACCTTTCTCCCTTCTGAAGAAAATCACAAATTAAATAGTAAAATCAATTTTATGAAGAAAAGTTCTTAAATATATCACATACCACAATAACAACTACATTTTGACCAATACTTTAAACATGTTTCCCCAGCCTTTTTCTATTTGGGCAATCTATAAGAAATGCAGATGTTACTGTTTAATAATGAGATTACAGGTAATTTTGAGAGTGTTATCCTGAGTTATATTCTCAGTGATTTTATAAGTAAACTTTATTATAAAGGTATAATCAGGCATTCCTGATTTCACATTCACAGACATTATCATTATTATTATGACACATTAATAAGGAAAATAAGCAAGTCTAAGAAATTCCAGTTTCTTTTCCAAGCCATCAAAAACAAACAAAAAAATTACTTTCTTCCCTAACTTCTTTTTCAATTTATGAAACATGAAACATATTCTTGAGTGCTAATATATTTTATCATTCATTTGCTGCAGATATCACAACGATGCCTATACTAGAACATCCACAAAATATTTAGCTTCTCCCCACAGGTAAAAGGGACTACTAGTCCCTTTCCTGCCTGTTATCCTGGGGGAAATATAATAGCACTTTCACTCATTCTTTGTGTTGTGATAAATTTTATGGTCACACTATTGGAAAGGAAAAAGAGACTCCTCAAACAAATGTGCACTGATTCCCAAGCACCACT